CATTCCATGAGATAACCTTCTACTCTTTGGAAAAATTCCTTATTCAAGTTTATCTCGTTCTGTTGAGTTTGCATCATTTTTACCTCAAATATTTTCCCATGTTTTAGTCTGAGTTCTTGTCATAATGTAAGAAGACTCAAAATCCAAGGTTTCTATCTTTACAAATCTGATTTTTTACATCTGCCCTTCCAAATCTCATTATCGAATGTTGTTCGGATTGTTTTTCCACCGTTTAGTATTTTTTTACAGATTTCACCCACTCTTGGCAAATGTTTTGACAACCAATAAATGTTGTCCCTGCTCTTCATCCCGCATCTTCACCCCCCCCCATTTGTTGATCTTTTACAGTAATCCACACGCCCATCTGTCACCGAGCACTGCACATCATAATTATATTGAGCAGACTATGAAGAGACAGCCAGCAACCACTCTAAATGCTCCGAGATTTGGCATCGTGTCAACTGCCTATTAAAGGAACAGCTTGGCAAATCCCTATCCACTTAGAGTTTGATAAACATAACATTTTGGTTCTAGAATGAATTTTTTTTAGAACGGTTCACGAATTTCACTAAATCCATAATTATATATAACTCTAGCAGAAGTTTACAAATCTTCGTATGCTTGCGAGAATTTTTTTCTCAACATTGAAATGTAATCCATAATGTTTGGTGGGGACAAAGATCATAAAAAGATCATAAAAAAATTCTCAAACATTGCGGACGATCTTATTCAATTTAACAATTTTGAGAACATAAACGCTAACCAAAATGCATCACAGAAAGAAATAGCGAGTTTCTACCGATATTATCTTTTAGTTCGTTCAAGTTAGCTTTTGAAGGACAGCTGAAGCAAATATTTAGCATAAAAGTCACAAACGTCGTAACATGACGCAAATACGTTCAAGCAAATTGTGAAATTGTGTATGTTACATGAGATCAATTTTTATTGTGAAATACTGCTCGAAAAAAAAGTTTCTCTTGCTTTAAATCTGTTGCAGTCTTATGCATACAGTATTTCCAACCGCAAGCTCATAACGCAACTTATATGGCATTACATTATACATTATACGTTATACATTCGGATCTGAAATATTTTAGTTACTCTTTTTAGACATGATTCCCTATAAATTGAGCTAAATTTTCGTTTTTCTAGACCAAATAATTAAAGAGAGATTTGATGTTGAACGCAAAAGCAGAAATCAAGGTTTCGTGACGCTGAGACTTGTTTTTAGTCCTAACGAGGGAAGGATACTTGGTGACCGTGGTCATTCGAGGGATGTACACCGCAAAACGCAATTCGAAATGATTCCAAATTTGATCTCCCTATTTGCGAAGCGATCTTCTGCAAGAAGTTATAGAACTTTTCAAGGAAAAATGCTTTTTTGGATAGTCGAGGTCATTAGTAATGTTCCAATTTACTGTTTGATGCTATGGAACAAAATTCTTGGGCAGAGATCTATTGTACATAGACTAAGTACTTACTGTACTGTACTTAGGCTACTTATAAGTCCAAATTTATCAGTCGAAAAAGCCAGAGAATTCTGCATAGATGAATTTGAGCCTTCATGACGATGCTTCAGTTTACTCAAACAAAAATAATCGTAACTGCAGCCAGATATGGAAGAAAACTGAAGTTTTCGGACCAATGGAAGAAAACTGAAGTTTTCGGACCAACCTCAAAGACGCATCTATCGATATCTCTCATTATAAATGGCCACGCGCCAAGTATCCTGTTCTTGTAAAATATCGTATAGACCATGATATTAGCCTTCAACTTGTTAATGTACCTTGATTAAAAAAGTTATTCAGGTGGCCTCAACATGAACTGCGTGCAAACGAACGTGGGAGGTCTAAAAATGAAAAATTCATCGATCAGAAATCAAGGCAACAGTAGTAACATAGAGATAAAAATTTCGTAATTCAAAATGCATGCGAAATTCGAAATGCTTGATCATAGCTCTGTGTTAGTAGTCAAGAATCTTTTTTACATTCATTCGCAACTGAAATGGCAAAATGCTTTGCCTCTCTTAATCAGAAGCAAATAATTCCCAGTCAGGTATTGGCATCCATAATGTGACGAGCGGCCGTAATTAGCTTGGGCAGCTCTGCTGACAGATGCGCTGGATAGACTGCTCACCTCTTCGTTTGTTTGCCTTATTTGGATACTGTATTCAGCCTGATAAATAGAACTGAACTTGGCTGCATCATGATTTGCTAAATTATTATTAAGATATTCTAACTTGTTGTTTTTTGGCTTCAATTTTCATTCTTCTTGTTAAAAGCATGCCCCAAGGCTTCGGTTTTTCTGCTGACTCACCATGGCCACGTATATGGTGTGATGCTTTTTTGCAACGGAGACGCACAATATGCAAATGTTCTACGTGGGAGTTTCTGTTTTCGATCGCATATTATCGATCGCTAATAATTTTTGGGGAAACTGTAGCGCAGGCGTAACAACACTTGTCATCCAGCTACGGTGAAGAACCAGTTCACTACCTAGAGCTTGGTGGTGGATTAAAAAGGAATGGGCATAGAAAGAGGGGGGGGGGAGAGAGAAGGAAGAGAGAGAAGCCCGAAACTCCTGAAAGTGTCTGCTACATGAGTATTGAAGTTATGCAGGTAATTGTTACAATTTGCAATATGCTATTTACCATAAAATTTTTTGTCTCTAGCCCTCACATGAAGTTTTGAGAGCCCCACACTGCTAGAGCTATAAATTATGGAATGGTGGAAACGGTCATTCCAAAAGGGAAGGTACAATAGACTACAGAGTTCCAAGCGCAGGAATATTCAAAATCCTAAGCATGGAACTTCCCAGGTTATTCCTATCAAAATTTTTGCAATTTTTATTGTCAAAATGGCTACTTATAACAGAGATGCGCTGGGAAAAATCAATGGAGTTTAGAGATCAGAATCAGCACAGTTACATTTCGTAACTTTTGTCCATGAGACATTCCTCCGCGAAACTTTGGAACTCAAACGATTAGAAAACGGAAAACTCAAGAAGTTTAGGCGCTACAATAATTCTCTGAAATTAGTTCATCATGAAGTGCGACTTCACGATTCTTGAATAAGCGATTTTCCCAATCAACTTTTCCTTCCCACATTTTCATTCCTTCCTGCAGCCATTCTGCTGAAAATTCTCCTCTAACGGTAATTATAATAATTTTTTAGTTCTAATTTGGTAACACCTTCCTTGAATCACTCTGAAACAAGTTTTGCTTAGCCGAAGAAAGCAACGGCCAAAATCTGTAATTTTTTTGCGGCACCCTGGGAGTTACTTATATTTGAAATATTTGAAATTTGTAAATGCTACAAATAGACCCTTCTGAATATCCTACCATAATTTGATGCTTTCACTATCATTGTTGGACAGAATAAGCATCCCTCTCAATCCTTTCCTTACTCCTGCTATCCCATCCTGCATCCATTCGGCTAGGAACCCCCCTCGTTGTATGCAGCTGCAGAGAGCCGCACACAAGCAAATTTCCCCCACAGCCAAGAAGTGAAGAAAACCACGTTGACACTCAATGAACCGCTGCGAATCCCATAAAAGTGCGCTTCTCTCTCACGAGATTATGGAAATGAGGAGCAGGGCAGGCCAGTGAGCAGCGGTGGCGGCGGCATCGCCACTGTCGCACCTCGAGTGTGTGTGCGGCTGAGGATTATCTCTCAGGTATGACAACCCTGTCCCGACTGCATGGGTACGTGTATGCGAAGGGGGGGGGGGGGAAGGGGGAAAGTGGAAAACAGCGGCACCGACAGCCAGCCCAAAGAGTAAGCGCTGTGAGAACTACATCGGCTGGCATGTCGATGGGAATGCCGGAGGTTTGGCCGGCCGACTATTCGCCTTAGATGACCCGGCAATGGCTTGTGGAGACACGGTCACCTTTGCTATAGAAAGGTCGTGGGTGCAGAATTGTGTGTCAACGAGAATTTTGTATTACGAGAATTATCCCAAACTATGGTAAATTGTAAAATGTCGTAAAATGAACAACGAATGTCAAAGCATAATATATGCAACTTGTTTCTTGTTTGGCAGAAAAAAGGGTTTCTGGATCAAACACTCAAAATAACTTTTTTCTTGCTCAGTAAACTTAGAGGTCAGTTACATTCAAAACAAAATTTGCTCATCTAACAAATCAGGTGATACAGAAGATCATCGTTTGTTTCACGAGTAGAAATTGTTTTGATTATAAGAATGTTGCTTTTACATTTGTGCTCCTAAAAAAGATGAGAAACTGGTCGACCCCTAGAACGAGTTCCATTCTGTCCCCCCCCCCCACCTCCCCGAGGAGTAGCTGTTGCAGACGTTTTTTTGCAGGGATGGTGACAGAACGACTTGTAGAAATATCAGTGCGGTTATTCTTGTTAGCAAACATTTTGCGAAGACTTGATGGTGAAGAGTGATACGACATCTAACATTGAGTACTTTCAAAATGACACTCAAAGTTGGAGTACCTGACGGCAATACTTTTAGAATAATCGCAATGAGGCACGATTGAGGTAGAAGTTGAATTTTATCTGTCAAAGGAAGGATTAGTCGTTTTTGTTTATTGAGGATAAGTTTCAAATAAAAAAATCATCTCAAAAAAGCAGCTCTCTGATTAGCCAAGCTATCCATGCCATTGTGGTAAACTCTATTCACGTAATCCGTCTCAAACCTAACAAGCTGTCCATACGAAATTGCGTAACTGCGCGTAACGCAGTATTTGCGATGCGACGACATCAGTGCGATGATCACCTGGCTGTCGGAGCGCGTTCATTCGTAATGCAAATCGCATGCTGTTTTGAGCTCATTTCGCTCTCGAGTCAGGCATAATGAGTGGAAAGGGGAGGGGAGGGATGGGTATGATGAACTTCTTGAGGAGGTTCACCTGAAAATGGGACAGTACTGAGGTCAGCGAATCCCCGCGTGGTCCGGGTCGGGCTTATGGTAGGCCGGAGACGAGAGCGGGGCGGGCGGCGGGCGGGGCGGAGCGGCAGGCGCAGCGGCGAATCACGGGAGGGCGCGCCTTGCGGGCTGAAACACATCCCGCCACTCGTCCGTAATGCTGGCCAACAACCTGTGTCCATCGGAAGAAGCTGCTCCCAACTACGCTCAGGTGAGACTCGGCTCGGCTCCCGGCACCCGCCGCAGGCCGGCGGATATCCCGCGGACCTGCCGGCGGCGCCCCGGCGATTTCGGCTCGTCCAACGATGCAAATGAACCTAATGTTTATTCATTTCTGCCTGCTTGTTAGGCGCATCTGATTTCGCGAACCAGCACTAATAGTCGTGCAGTCGAACTGCTTCGCGCTCACGCTACCCACGTCTTCTCCCGTTTACCCACACTCAGCCGAGCTCTTTCAGTTCCAAGTGATCAAGCCGACCTGTGAGGCGTTTCAAGAATGGGCCCCAGCCACCGCCGCGCCCGTGCAGTACCCACAAGCACAGCAGTTTCCATTTCTCTTCCCACAGTCGGAATGGTCCTACCCGGCTCACTTACAATTACAGCAGCAGCCTATGTTGCAACCACATGAAATGAAGGTAAACCTCATATATTCATTTTCCTCCTTTCCTCCCTTTTCATTCCTATCCTTCGCTTACTCTCATCTCTTGCATCATCTTAGACCTAAGTTCCTAAATGTTTGAATACCACAACTTTTCTTGCCAAATTTGCTCCCAAAATCTCTCTGACCAAACATGGACCAGTTCAATCAATTTCTCTAACACCGTACACCATCGCCATCGTCGTCACGCTTGCTCTGCGTTCGTTTGTGTCCGTTTGTCCGTCTTCGCGCCTTCTCAATTGATTACGACTTACCCTCTCCTGGCCTCCTCACGGGCCAGCCTTAATTCTTCTTCACACTCTATTAGTGGGCCAGAAAAAAGCACGAAATTCTTCATGCATATTTGGAGGTGTTGGTTTGATTATATGGCTCATGGTTGCAATTAATACCGTATAAGGCAATAATTACCGTAGGATACTGTGCTTTTCTGTCTCAACTTGAAAGACTTTGGAGTTTATCTGCAAATTGCCTTTCCCCAAAGTCTCCTATAGCAGAAGTGTTTTCATCCTGAAAGTGGGCAAATGCGGTGGAAGAGAGGGGCTAGAGCTGCTTTTTTTCTTGCAATGTTCTCCAGCGAAACAAAAAGGGACAGCAACCACTTCATTGGTTGACAGATACTGTATTGTAAACATAACGAACGGTAATCAACGTATTTTCAAATTTTCCACTTATCCATGACCTTTTGCTATGACTAGTTTCTCTGGATAAGGTGTAGTAAAACCTGAAGATGGAAATTTCTTTTGACAAATAATGTACTTTCTTCTCCTCTAGATTCTATCAGTTTGCCTTTCTGGACATAGTGATGAACTGTGTCCATTTTTGTTCAACTCAGTCTTCAGTCACTAAAACGGTTTTTGTCTTCATAAAATTGTAAGGAAATTTGTTTTATTCTAACAAACAATTCAAGGCGAATTTTTCAGCTGTTCTCAATATTCTCAGTATGTGCCCTTCATCGAAAGCTCCTGAGTAGTAATTTCGCACACATATTATTATGAATTCGTCACCGTCATGGCAGAACTAGAGCACTTAAAGTCACTTTACCACTGATTTTTGATGTTTAATACTTACAATGTTCAGTGTTCTGTTCTGGAGTCTCAAAGTTTTCAAGCAAAAAGGAATGTATGCTATTCTAGGTTGACACTGAAAGGCCTGAAGTAATCCAACGACTACCGCACCCTTGGCCATACACATTCCCCACAGATGATGCAGCTCATTCGCAACTGTCGGATGATTCCGAACCAGGTTGCCCTGATGATTTGGAAGCTTTTGCCAAGCAATTCAAGCAACGAAGAATAAAACTGGGGTAAGCGATTCTAGCTCCAAAAAATTACACTCATTCCCTCCCCTTTCCCCTAACCTGGCAAAAGTGAAAGTCACATTTTCTAGGTACACTCAAGCGGATGTCGGTTTGGCATTGGGCACGCTCTATGGGAATGTGTTTTCTCAGACGACGATTTGTCGATTCGAAGCGCTCCAGTTGTCGTTCAAGGTTAACACTTCGCCATCAATTGATTGTTGCCATTTTTGTTACTCTTCAGCTCTCTGGGGTTACCCTAATGAATGCGATTTCAGAATATGTGCAAGCTGAAGCCGCTTTTGTTCAAATGGCTTGAAGAAGCTGACTCCACTTCTGCTAGTCCAAACTCGGCTTTTGAGAAGATGACAGGGCAAGGAGGAAGGAAGCGTAAGAAGAGAACAAGCATAGAGGTAAAGAGGAACTTGAAATTTTATCAAAAAGGTCCAAAAATACAAATTTTTAGGTGAATGTCAAGTCTCGTCTGGAATATCACTTTCAAAAAAACCATAAGCCAAACGCGCAGGAGATTTTGCAAGTGGCAAATGAACTCGGATTAGATAAGGAGGTATGTAATTTCGTGAGAACTTTTTTAAAAGCAGAATGTTAGAATTTCTGAAAACGATAGTTCAAACAAGATTGTTCTGAGAGAGCGATTTCTAGTATCAGAATCGGGAATTTTCTTACGGTTAACCAGTGGTAGTATTCGATCATCTTCCGATCTTGATTGGGCGCCGCTTCACTGTTATTAGCGAGCTCAAAGCACGCTATCGGGCGTATAAAGGCGAAACAGCGCCCGATCGGGATCAGAGATCATTAGAGCCCAGATCGTAAGCGGGGTGAGTATAGCCTTTTCAAAAAGTATGCTTTTGACAGTAACTTGAAGCTACCCAATAAATAGTTATATTCCCCCTTCAAAAAAATTGTAAATTCGAATTTCAAGGTGGTCCGTGTATGGTTCTGCAATCGACGGCAAAAAGAGAAACGAATGACGCCACAGTTCGACCAACAAATGATGATCACGAGCCCGTACCCTCCGTCCGACATCTTCTCCTACCCGACCGGCTTGCCGATCAACCCGTCACAGTTCGAGCTGCGAACGGGCTCCGGCTCAGCCTGAAACCGCATCCAGTGTGAGCGTTCCGTCTAGCCGTTCAGCTCTACCTCCTGCTCTCCTCCGTCCTTAGGCTCTACCAACACTTCTATACTCTTCTTCTCGTCCGCTCATCAGACGTTTTTGATCTCTAGTTCAGTCGTATCCACTCGCTTCCACAAAAACTTCCGATGAGTGCGCAATTCTTCTTCACTTACAAAACCCGAGTGTGTGCTGTGTTCGCGTGTGTTTGTACATTCCAATTGGGCTGGCGGGTGACACAGAAAAAGTCCGTAGTTGCAGAATTGGCCATGCAATTTGCTCCCACATCTGCTGCTCACTCAGCGCTACCGTATCCGCTCTCCCACCAGTCTCTCGCCATTTTTCTCTGCTGTGTGTTTCTTTCCATTGTTTATTCTTTGCATGCAAGGGTAGCGGACTCTCCACATACATACGGGGAGGTTCGCCAATTTTCTTCATTATTTTCTTCGTTTTTTTTTTGAAATTCAGAGAGATATGCTATTTATTCTTCTTACATGATCATTACTGTTCTGTGAGAGATTTGACCAAATTTGTGATATAATGAGTCGTAATAAATCTAAGAACTACGCTCTTACTTTGCCACCTTTTTTGCGAAAGGTGCTTCTGTGGGCTTCTGAAAAAAAATTTTTTTTGCAAACACAAAGGATGAGGAAAATTGAAAAAAAGCCAAATGGGTCCTCCGTGGGTCCTCCTCTGTACTCAACCATTTCTCCAGATTTTAGGTCTTCTAGAAAACCCTCAGAATCAAAAGATTGCTCAGATTCGACTTTGAAAGGATCAGAACCAAGTTATGTTTGCATTTCCGCCACTTCTTCTGGCGTTGCCCTCACTCGGCCCCGCTGAAAAAAACCATAAGCGTATTCATGTCAACGAGAACGGCCCCGTGTGAAAGTCCACGGGTTTTTGCGTTCATTCACCTGTCTATCGGCAAAAACTCCGATATGAAGGGCATATTTACTGTGAGTGAGTGGCCATCAGGACCATTCAACACTCCCGTGAAGCCGTCGCCCGGTGTGGCCGAACACACGAGCGGGGACCTCATAAATTCAAACGCACAAAACACATTTAGGGCCGAGGGCCGGGGGTGACACGGAGCGAAGCGCGAGGTTAATCGGTTATGGCATTGTCTTCGAGGTGACGATGCCGTCACTCAGCCGAGCCGCATGCCATCAGTGTCTCATAGCCGAGACGTCGTCGAATCACCTGCTCTTCACGCCCGGCACCAGCCATCCGAACAGTGCGCGCCGATTAAATTGTCTCCTCGCACCCAATTATTGAGGCCATCCCCTGCTAAACGCTCTATGCTAATAAGGCGCAAGGGGGCACGGAAGCAACAGCTTCACTTCAGCTGTAGGTATAGGCATCACTAGTGCTCGTCTAAGGCAGTTTGAAAAGATTTGCGCAAAAACTGAACTCGACTGGATTGACAGAAATCCGCTAAGAAATAAGGACACACATTCCATGGAATTTCTTTTCTGCCATAAATCGAAGTGTAGTAGGAGCTTCTACCAGAGTAAGCCTAGAAAGGCAATGGTGTTAAGTCGTCAGTCATGATTCATTTCATGCACCAAGGCTAATTCTGGTAGACCACCTCACCCAACATCCATCACAAAACTGTATAAAATGAAAATGAATACCCGTCCCACTGAATGATTGCAAAATTTTTTTGGTGGGTTAATAATGATCGCTTTTGCCACTCTAAATATATTATTCCCTAAAAAACTGTAAATTTGTTCGAATTTACCAAATTTTCTGAATCTTTTTAGCTCCAACATATACCAAGATATCTTGGAGATGCGTCTGTTACTAAAACCACTAGCCTTCAAGTGATAATAAATCGATGTTGAATTCTGATTAGCTTTCAAGACATCGGAAAGCTATAGGACGCACCATGGGAAGAATTCGTTTGCATAAAAAATTCTTGGCGGAAAGTAAGATATCGATTTTTGGTTTCTATGGTAGAAGAGACTTTTGGAGCGATTAGAATCAGAAAATGCATGCCTTCTGTGCACAGACAGAATAAGGTAATGAAAAGAAGGGAAAAGTCGGGCGGGGGGAGGAAGGGGGAGGGGGGGGGGAGGGGAAGCTATAGAATTCAAGTCGGGAAAGCTTTTCACTTCAGCCTTTCGACATGTAAACCTGGTAGAAGATGCCAATAGATATTTTGTTTTTCAAAATTCTCAATACTTAAACGCAACTCTTATATCTCTCCGATGATTTTATATTTGTTAAATATCCTAACTGTAAGTCAATTCCGCATTTGCGAAAATTTGACTTTTTTCGGAAAACCATGTATTCTGCAAAATCGCAAGCGGAAAGTTTTCGTATATCACTCAAAAGCTTTTGGGGAGCTCTTTCTGATTATATGTGTACGAATGCATTTTAAAGAATTTTTCCTTTGTAGTTTGGGCAGATTTTCTTGATTTGGTCTCTGCCATTTGCATGATTCACTGCCAGCTGAGCTGCTGCCGAGCAGCAGCACCTGCATGGGAATCTCGCTTGATCCCACTCGACCTCGGCCATCATCTGCCGAAGTGTGACAATCGCAGCAGCACATCAATTACTCCCGACCGCTTGCTGCCCTTTGTGATAATACGATATGCTTTCACAGGCAGGCTCGACGCGGCCACGCTGCTACCGTAATCCTAGCGGACAGATCGCGTTCGCAAGTCGCACGACATAGTTCTACTGTGTTTGATCAGACGTTAATTTATTCATGATATTCGTATGAGCTTCGAGCGCTACCAGTCGCACACCCCGTCAGGGGGACCTGGGACAACCTGGCTCGGGAACGGAAAAACCAACAAACACGTCGGTTACGATGAGACGAGGGATGCGATCGCAGAACGACGGGGACGCCGAGGTGATCTGGGCCCTGAAAGGGGATGCGCTTAGTGTCCTGCTGTTTCCTATCGCAACATTCGCCTTTTTTGATGGAACCGCGCCTCGAAGACACTTTATTTCAACATCTCATTACCATAAACGAGCAGCGGTTCCTACATAAAGGCTCCGCGATTGTGATACTAAAGCCAGTGTCACAGAGAATACACATCTCTTCTTGGTTTAAAAACGAGTAAGTCGCTTTTCAGTCAATCCATAACGAATTAATGACCCCAAAGTTGGAAAAGTCTGGTAGAACTTTGCTTGTTTTGTGGGTAAACAGTAGGAAATAGGATGTTCTCCAGTCACAACTCAATATGTAAATCTGCACACTATGCGCGTAAACCAACGACACTTACTTGCAATTTCTCAAGGAAACCTTTTCTTATGTAAGAAACTTACTACTAGTAGATAAGCAGATCCTGATCTTACAAGTCGTCAAGTGGCATGCATGGTGTGCAATACGCATATTCGATAGTATCAAAGGAATTTCTCAACATGTCTACGAATGATTTATACGCCCCAAAGAGTTCTTCTGTAATTTTGCGTTATCAAACTACACGAAAAGTTACACAATCCAAGACCTTTCTTGCTCATCTTCCGATTTTGAATCTCTATAAACGTTCTCGCAATGCATCCAACGACGACGAGAACGTTCTCATATAGGTACGTGCTACGGCCGACGCAGATTACGGTAAGTGCCGCGTCGGCAGCAAAAAGGCACACCGCAACAGATTATAACCGCACACCAGCACGTAATACCCACTTCACCCAGCCGCCCTTTCACACCTACTGAAGAGTCAGTTTTAGCCGTTGTGGGAACTGATAAACTGCGGGAACGAACACTGAGTCACAGAAATGTTTAGTAACAATAGATGCAAATAAATACAATGAAACTGCGATAAAAGCGCTCTGATTATACTTCCACCGCTTGATTATTGTACTGCACTGGTTCTGCTCCAACGGTGGCTTTATTTCGTAACTCGAGCTGTTCCAATTTCCAGTGTTGATCTGAAACGAAGAAAACAAAGTATGACAGAAAACAGATCCCATTCACCCTCTAAAAAGAACAGACAAAATAAAAGTCCAAAAAACGTCTATTCGAATTACCTTTGAGCTTCCCATGTACTTCCTGTAGCTCACGTTCTCTTGCTTCTTGTTGCCGTACTTCTTCTTGTAAGCGAGAGACTCTCTTATTGATTGATTTTGCTTCATGTTCCGAGAGTCGCCTAAGCAAAAATCCAGATTTAGAATATTTTTACTGTTTCCACCAATCTCTTATGACTCACCTAAACGTCTCCTTCTCAATCTCAGCCATCTCCAGCTCGGTTCTCACTTCAGCCAATTTTGATGCCAAATTTGTATGAATAGCCTAAAATTCAAAAAAATTGCCAGCGGAAGACCACCAAAAATCTTCTTCTTCACGACCACATTCGTTAAGGCAATCCTTTGTTCTAGAACGGCGTAGGGATAACGACATGTCGAGAAATGCCCCTTGTTGGATCGTGCGGACCCTCATACAATAGCAGCTAGCTGTAAATCAGCGAGCTACTAAGGTCGAGCGACACTTAGATCGAAAAAATGAGAGAAATAAGGACTTTGGATTTTCTAAGGGATCACAGTTACCGAAAATGGTATACCATGAAAGGGGGGGGGGGCAAAATATTGTTTTGATTACTTGTAACCAAAACAATATTAACCAAAAAAAAACTCAAGATATATGTTCTTGATTGAGAAATTACATACATCAATTAGATGTGAGACTTCCACTACGAACTTCTCCCTACACTGCAATTTCATTGTGCACTTTTTAACATGATTTCTACGAAACTGTATTTGAAGAACAAGCGGTCCAGATTTGACCGCAAAAGTGAACTTTATGAGTTCGAGTTGACACAATTGTTTCAAGAATGTATAGCACTTCAAAAACATATCAAATCTCTGTTATTTGCACCATTCCTCTCAGAAGTGCCTCTCTCAATCCTTATCATCCTCTAAGTTTCCCAGCCACTTCAGATACGCTACAAACCATACACATACCAAAACAAGCCATCGCCCAACTTTTGTACAAATGACGTAATCAGGATGATCATGTAGATGCCGCTCACATTACTACGCAATATCACGCATGAATATTAATTTATAGGTCGACGTAGGTGCATGGTGAGTGCTCACTGACAGTTCAGACCTTGTAAACAACTGTTCCTTCTTCGAAGTTTACGTCTTAGCGTAATTCCACAGCAACCCATAACCCGATTGATCCGCTGCCGTCAAAGCTTCTTCAGGGCAAAGCGAGCTAATCAAATTTACATACAAAATGTGCAATCGGTGGTACTCCTGGCCTGCATTTTGCTCGCGCATAAATTACGGTCATGAGACTTGTGGCCGACATGCAGCGGCCAATAAAACAGCGTGAGCTCTCATCGTTGCTGTCCAGAATCTAGTCCAGGGACATATGACCAGGAAATCATAACAGCGATTAAGGAAAAGGATAATGTCAGATTTTAGAAAATTTTAGAAATCGTTGAATGAGTACCTGATAACCTCCTAATTTTATTTTCAGTTTCTTCTCCAACTTTCCCGTCTTTTTCGCTCTAGCGTTCATCCAATCGCGATAAATCTAAAAACATACGACACCAAAATATATAAGCAGCAAAATCGAGAGCTCTCCTTACTAACCTGGAACTGCGCATGAAGTGCTTCAATTTGCTCTCCACGACCAAGTACAGCAATTCTTGTGAATTTGCCTCGACTTTGTACCAGTTCCGTACTACATTGTTCAATGATAGCCCACATTGAGGCATCCAGGGCAGGTCCATCATCACAGTCTTTGCTGAAAAATAATATTATTTCAAAGCGTTGTGGAAAATAAAATATTAGGTTGACAAATTCTTGCACCAAAATCCATGAAATTTCGATACATCTTCTATGGATTTTGCTTCAACAAAAAAGGAAATGCGCTTTCCGCATTGCTCAAATTAATTTTTTGATGACATGTGGCAGCGATACAAGCTGATCAAGAGCAAAAACCCAGAAAAGGATTTTTCGAAATCTGGTCGCTAAAATTGCCAAAACGTCCATTGGAATCTAAACTTAATTTTGGTCTTCCTAAAATGAACTACGCTTCTTGATTAAGAGAGTTTGGAAGCGATCGGGATGTCCTACAGATAGTTGTGAATTTCGATATTTTGAATCGGCTTGTTGATTTTGTTTCCAAGTGATTTTCTAGGATGTAATATTATATAACAACTTTGAATTACATAGCAAAGAGCCAATTATGTAGATACAGTAATTCGTTTGAGCATTTGGAAACAAATAATTCTCTATGTTTTGGTGTAAGAACTGTGCACCACCAACACAATGGAAAAAAGCCCCACTTTATAAGTTCATCTGCCTTTTTGATGTCTTCCTCTTCGTATGCCTCACTTGGTATGTTGTTTTGAACATCCCAAGCGACTAATCTTGCCATTTCTGCTTTGATCAGATCATCTGCCTGAAACACAAACCAAGTTTTCGGATTATTATCCTTCGAACTAGTTTTTAGCTGGTTAGACAGTTGATGACTGCTTAGGTAAATTACGCAGTACCATCCCTAGATGGAAACCCAGAAACGATTGTCTCATTTCACGAATGATCAACAGTGCAAGGTGCTCAGGGGGTCTGCACCAATTTATCAGCAGACAGCTGCACGTCATGTCGTCAGCCTATCACCAACCACCATCGCAAAACGCTCTGTCATAATGAATAAGACGTGTTCGCGCGACAACATCACCACGCAATCTGTCTTTCAAAGCATGCTCGCACGTTTATAACGCTGTTGATTGATGCAGAAAATGAGAATTTCTGTTCAAAATCGTAGGATAATGAAAGCTTCGAGCTCAATCAAAACCTGGCTTGTTATGGAAACCTTATAGCTTTTCACCTTCATTATTGTATATATTGGAAAAAGGTACTGTACTGATGTGGCTTTCGCTGAGCAAAATCACGATTTAAAAGCAGCCAATATCACGAGATTACAAGAGCCCTGATAGTTGAATACGTTCAGAAAGATAAAATACGAGCTTGGCTTTCGCTGAGCAAAGCAAGTTACAATGTACGTACTTATTATCACAAGATTACAGAAACTTGGATAGAATACGTTTTGAAAACACGAGTACAATTCAGTATAATGCGCTATCTGTAAAATGAAAAAGATAATGAAGGTCAGAGAAGCTATAAGATCTTTATCATGACAAGGTTGGTATGTTGCATTACCTTGGCCATATCTGTCCTATTCAACGACGGTTTAAATGCAGCGTCACACACTTTGGATGGTTTAGGCAACGAACGTTGGATAACCTGAAAACACATTCTTAGATATTTTTTCCTGCCCTAACTACAGTCAACACACACCTGAGTCCTTGCAGCAAGTTCCCGTTGCCTCTTCAGTGCACGCTGCTTGGCTCTAGCCTCCTTCACTTCAGCGGCATCATCTACCCATTCCTCCTCTTTCACCTCCTGCTCCTCACTTTCACCTTCTTCATTTTCAGGAGCAACAATTTCATAGTCATTCCTAGGCTCCGGAAGTGAGGCAAGCGCTCTGCGTAGTTCAGCTCGTGCTTCAATTCCGCTCGTCGCCCCGCCTTCGTTGATACCCATTTGATCACGGAAAGCTGGCGTGGCTCCTCCCGGTCCAGGCGTGAAAGAGCCCACAGAGCTCGGTGTGGCTAAAATGATATGACAATAGTTTGGAAACAATATTCAAATAGTGAAAAATTAACCTCCGAAAGTGCTAGCAGGAGTGGCGGCAACAGCATTCAGTACAGTATTTGGAGTGGCCTGAACTCGCGGAGTGGGCAAAATTCCCGAGAAGTCAGCTTCATGAAGTGGAGTGTTGAGACCTCCTTTCAGTGGAGTGTCTACATTTTGCAGAGCGAGAATATTTTGAACTTCCTGAAACATTTTAGGTAAAATTCAGATATATACGTACATTTGAGCATTTAAAAGCTGATCTAGGATGACATTGTCAAAGAAATCAGTGAAGTTACGAAAGGCAGATTACTGTGGATCTACTTTGACATGATTCTGGCTTATGTTAGGGAAATTCATATCATAGAGATTTCTTGGCAATAAATCTCGCATGGGCTCTAAAAATTCCAGAGTACTGATTATGCACAAAACAGCTTCACTGAGAAGAAAACTGAGGATTAAATTGAGAAGAAATGTCGTTCTCTGGGCTTTAGTGACTCTGTGGACAAGCTTGTTAGACCATTTGCAAGAGCAAAGTAAGCTCTATAAGATGTAATCTAAGCATTCACAGAACTCGTGATGCAACAAGAAATTTAAGGCCTCCTAAAATAATTCATAACGCCAAGAAGTGAATCTTTGTTACCCAAAGTCTTACAAGTCTCCAGCAGACTCATACGTATTCTAAACAACATAATGCATATCACCTGCCGTATTTTTTTGCCACTAAAACCGAAAAAAAAATTAAAAACTCCAAACTCCGCCTTGCAGTTCTGACCTTCCAAATACACAACTGAATCTATTACAAGTCTTGAAAATTCCACCATATTACATACTTTCATGCCCTGGTTCTCGAGAGATGTCAATTTTAGCTCAAACGCCCCTCCCCCCCCCCCCCTCCGCATCATTTCCTTTCAAACTAAAAAAACGATTGCTGCACAATGACGAAAAAGGTCCTAAAGTAAGACTAAACTTCTCACAAAGATGAAGATAATGAAAAATCGTGCTGCGTGTATAATTCTTCTCAAAGAATTTCAGGTAAAATTAACATAATCATCGATAGATCAAAATATTAGGTCGTTTCATAAGTAATTTCGCTTTTTTCAAACGAGCGCCACATTCGATGGAACAAAGGTTTCTAAGAGATCCTGGTAGCATTCTATGCAGAATTTCATTCTCTTTCTAATGGATATAAAAATATTGCAAAACAATCAATGAGCTTTCAGAAAATAACCAAAACTTGCGATCCATGCTTTTTAAGATGGTCAAGTTTCACAAATTTTTAAAACTTTCATATCAATCCTCAGAAGAAGTTCAAGAAACGATTCGATAGAGTAAATCTCATAGAACATAGTGCTACTTTCTTCTCTTTCTCATAGCTCGCCGTAATTTTTTAAAAGATTTTTCAACAGAGCCATCGGATTTTGGCAGACCCACCTCAGCCACAATCGCAGCAAACATCATGATTTTTCGGAATTTGAGACTACCAAGACTGTACTGTGAGTTAGCACTAACTTTGCAAAGCAAGTGAAAGTTTATGGGTTCGAAATATCAAATTTCGTGATTTTCAGGTACAGCATGAGGCTCCTTGAAAAAATGAATTGTGATAATTTTATCCTCGAAAACTAAAAAATCGGAAACAAAAATTACTTGTTAGAAAGAGGAGAAGATGCTGCGTCGAATAGTGGTCGAGCTGCTCTTCCTTTGATGTTCTACGAGGATTTAGCTGCTCAAGTATGAAAATCGGTAGCATCAGTTAAAATTCTGTCAAAAATGTATGACAAGCTATGGAAAGGATAAAAAAGTAGTTTTGCATTCTATATGGTTTGCTCTATCGAACAGTTACTTGAATTTCTTCTGAGGTTTGATGTGAAAGTTCTAAAAAATTGTGAAACTAGACTATCTCAAAAAGCATGGGTCGCAGACTTTGGTTATTTTCTGAAAGCTCATTGACTGTTTTGCAAAACTTTCATAACCATTAGAAAGAGAATGAAATTTTGCATCGAATGCTTCCAAGATCTCTTGAAAACCTTTGTTCCATCAAATGTGGTGCCCGTTTGAAAAAAGCGAAATTACTTTTGAAACGACCTAATACATACTGAAATTTCAAAAGAAAAGATTTTGCCTCATAATCATAGAAACAAATTATCGAACTCAGCAAATAAGATCTCAACGAATCTTAGAAGAGAATAGTCAAAAGGCCAACCCAAGCAAGCTGCTTACAAGGGAAGGATACTCGGTCGAAGTGACCATTTGGAATGAGCTGTATATTAGGAAACCGTCCTCCGTAAGACAAACTCAAAATTACTTTCGCTAGGTGCCGAGCGGTTTTGTGGGGGGAGTTACGAGGCGATTTTCGGCGCAGCTGGTGCACCTAGTGATGAGCGAGGCGCTAGAATAACGCAGCAGTGTGGCAGTGGCGCAGTGGCAACGCAGCGGACTACGAAGCAGATGGTCGAGGGTTCGAGCCTTGTTGCTGCTATTTTGTTTTGTAGTTCTGTAAAAAGTCTATTGGGTGACAGCAAACGAGAAATACTAGTTCTAGGCAGTTCAAACAATTACAAACATTCAAACAACAACAACACAACTATTTACTGCAAAAAAGTCACTATTTCTACAATAAGCCATAATCTCTTACAGTATGTAAATCTGTGGAGGTTATGATGTCACAACAATGGGTTCAAATGATATATTAACATGTATGGAATACAACCACAAAATGCTCAAAGCAGAAGAGCTTCTCGCAACGCGCGCACTAGCAAAATTGCAATCGATTCACATCCCATTTATTGGCTCTTGATCTGAACTTTACCTTGCATCATAGGGATTCCATCCTTAAAATCTTATTGCTCATTTACACACAATTTTGCTCGATTCAAAAATTTGCTTTCATACCCATGGATGCAGCCGGATACATTGACAACCCCCCGGCGAATTCGAGTCTCCTATTCAGTACTGCTTTTCACCGACTTTGATAGGCAATTGTGAAGCTGCTGATTGTCATTGTTTTATTTTATCCGATGTGCGCGCTGCGAGATGCTCTTCTACTTTGAGCATTTTGTGATTGTATTTACATGTTAAAATATCACTTGAATCCCTTGTTGTGACATCATAACCTCCACAGATTTGCATATTTTAGAAGATTATAGCTTATTGCAGAAATAGTGGCTTTTTTGCAGTAAACAGCTTGTTTCGACTGCCTAGAAATAGTACTTCTCGTTTGCTGTCACCCAATAGACTTTTTACAGAACTGCAAAACATAATAGCAGCAACAGGACTCGAACCCTCGACCATCTGCTTCGTAATCCGCTGCGCTGCCACTGCGCCACTGCTACACTGGTGCCTTATTCTAGCGCCTCGCTCATCACTGGGTGCACCAGCTGCGCCGGAGGAAAATGGCCTTGTAACTCCACCCACAAAACCGCTCGGCACCTAGCGAAAGTAGTTTTGAGTTTGCCTTACAGAGGACGGTTTCCTAATATACAGCTCATTTCAAATGGCCACTTCGACCGAGTATCCTTCCCTTGTTAGATACCAGTCCATGCACCATTCATCGCTGATTTCGTATTCCAAATCTGCTTCGCGCCTTTGTGGACAAAATTATGAGCAAACTTAAGGCAAATAGACTGTACATAAAAATTGCAAAATTATTCAGCTCATCTTCAAGCCTTCAGAGTACAAAGTAACCTAGCTGCATGTTTTGGCCCAGCATTAAGCCGAACATGGCTCTGTAGTGTCAAATTCGCACTTCGCATGCACGATATCTAAGCCAAATAACGGCTTTGACGGCTCATAACTTTGCCCATCTAGGCGCTAAGCAGATACTGAATGCAGATTTGAAGCCAGCGCTATATGCTGCATCTAATGGTATGCAGCTTGTTCAAATTGGCCACTTCGATTTCTGACCACTCCCTTGTTAGCATTACTTATACCCACACAAAGTAGTGAACTCATAAGATGCATATTCTCGAGTAACTGACTCTTCCTATTAGCCTCTTGCGGTGGGAGTATATCCACCATGCACTCCTGAGTTAGATAGTTTATCTCAGGGGCGTTTTGCTGGCAGTATTGGGGGCATGGGTACCATCTCCATGATCACATCTTTATGACAATTGTAGTCCAGAGCAGTCACATGCAAGCTCTATCAAACATACTTTTTAACCAATTTAAAGGTGTGGACCCAACGGCACGGTGGACCTTGACTGGGGCTGTTCGATTTACTGTGTGTGTATTTTTTTTCTCTTATTCTTTTTGTAAGGAACGCCATACAGCGTATGAATAAATAAATAAATAAATGTCTGACTAGATAATGGTTTTTACTGAATTGTAGCAGTGGAGATGGACAAGCCAAATTCTTCAACTGTAAACTGACAATCCTAGCATTTTCCAGTCATGTCCAAAAATCCAGAACAGTTACCCTAATTTCACGCGTACAAGGCGCGGGGGATTGTCCGAAATCGACCAGCCCAAATACGCCAAAGAACTTCGCAACCAAAGGACCCTATGCCTTGCTGTATATTTCTTGAGAGAATCGTACGGCATAAGGATCGCTTTCCGAAATAATTTAGAGCGGCTGGGGGGCTTAGTCGAAAAATCGAAAAAGGTGCGCCTTGTACGCGTGAAATTAGGGTACTTCTGAGCTCTGTTACGCATGTCAGTTATTATCACAAATGACATCAACGTGTGATGATCATAGTGCAAGTCTAACAGCTACCGTAATCCGCTTGTTTGGTGGTAGCGCGAGCGCGTCGCTCTCAAAATGGAATTATCCGCCGCCTTCATTATTATTCCTGTCACGTCGTGGTGCCTGCGAGCTGCCCCCTCTTCCCTGTGTTACGTCGTTCACAAGCCAAGAACAATCCTTTGATAGGGCGTTAAGGGACTGATGAAGTGCATGTTGCGAGAGAAAAAAAGAAGGAGCTAAACGACGCGAAGTGTTTCGCAACAGGTAATGCGTGAGTTGAGAATGAACAATTCATTACGATAAGTTTCATAGATACATAGATAGCGTACTTTGAAGCTGTACAAAAAAATGCTTACAGTGAGGGTTCTTGCTTAAGTAAAAGAAAATGCAGGAACCTTGAAGTTTCAGAAAACATCTATGAGAGAGTTCAAGGTGTAACCTAAAAAAGGTAGGCATGGATTGCCTCAACTTCTAATCATGGAGATAGCTACCGTGATCTTTCTCAATCGGCTTAGGATATGAAATGAAAGTTTTTTTTTGTATCAGGTCGCAAAATTGCAATAACGATAAGCAAAGGGCCTGACTAACTGATCGCTAACTCTTCATCATTTATAGGCACTTATACTCTAAAAGATAGTCCAGAATGCATGCCAAGAAAGCGAACAAATGCAGTAGGTGACCTATCGAAATAACGTCTATGGGAGGAGGGCGGATAGCAAGCGAGCAACGCATTACGTACTATGAAATTCTAATCAGTCGCCGTACATACATGCATGGTGATCAAATGCGCCCATACACCTCGCATCCCAATGAAGTGTCTTCACCGCACAAAACACAACCCTCAACCTTCACGATGGTTTGACAAAACCCCAAAACCCTTCATAAAAAGCTTGGTGCGCCTGAATAGGATTTAAGCAACAAACAATCGAAGCCTGATGTTATGCAAATCAACAAAAGCTTTTCGCATTCAAAATGGATCACTAAGAGGCTGCGGCAGCACATCAAACGCAAAAAGCGCTCCGCCACAGAGCTAACAAATCAAACTAAAACAACACCCGTCAACAATCCAATTTCCGATACGAGCCTTGATGGACTGCGCTTTCAAAATCACACAGCAGAAATATCAATTCACGTTCTGATATGGGAGGTCGAGGCAAAGGCAGTACGTTTGTACGATGAATCGAAAGAGAGTTGAGGCATGTTCGGCTTCAAGATCAGAACCATAGTACTCATTATGATAGACGGAGTTTGAAAAAAGCTTTTACGTTACATATAGAGCCGTGCGTGATCGTGACGATCAGTGAGTCCGCAGCCACTCATGCAAAACGTCAAGAAAATTTTGACGTTGTTTCCTTCTGCGAAACGCTTTTCTGCCACCACATATTAGCTTCTCGTAACGATTTTCAAAAGTGATCTCTTCTGTTCTGAACGATTTAGGAACTTGTGGCGTATTGCAGAAATGTCCGCAGTAATACACCTTCATGTCTGGCAAAGCCCTATATCAGTGAAAATTACAAAAGATTTTCACATCGATTTTCACAGAAATTAACTAGGTCTTATGCCAATTTCTTTCAAGATAACAACGATGGTTACTTGGGGTAAGTGCAGTAGAGTCTACGGGACAATCAACAGTCTACATGGCAGTTTCAAGAGGTTGAACTTACAATCTGATTTAAGTCGTATTTTTCGTTCTCTAAGATGAAGTAAAAAACTTTCTCTATCCAAGTCCCCCCATCACTAGTAAGCAATTTTTGAGCAGATAAGCTTTAGATGCTAAACCTTATCTGCTCAAAAATTGCTTACTAGTGATGGAGGGACTTGGATAGAAAGTTTTTTACTTCATTTTAGAGAACGATAAAAAATACGACTTGGATCAGATTAGAAGTTCAAAACTGGTAAAGAATCAGAATATAAGGACGGAATTTGCTACACAAACAGTGATCTCGTGTGTATCTTTACTTCGTCTAGAAGCAAAGAACATGGTGCATAGACAATCAGGTGGATTACATGCACATTGTGCAGCATCGAAAGAATTTAAGAAGCACCATGTTTGAAGAAAGCAAAAAGTGGGGTCGGAACTCTTTGAATAACTGATTTCACTGAAGTTGCCAACTATCATATATAGTTGACTAGTAGAATCAGGATAATAGATGAATGAGCTCTAGAAAGCAGATCAGCATCAATAGCACCGACACAGCATCAATGCGTGTAAATCGCTGACTTCTTTAGAATATGTATAAAATTTACGTGTAACTAACGCTGGATAGGATCCTCAATTTTGTTCATTGACTTTCCAGACAGGAGCAAAAATGAACTGCATGCAGATTTTTGTGCGAGGAAAAAGCCAGAGCCCTCCGTCAAGCTATGTTCATAGAAACTACTCTTTTATGGCCTTTTATTCAAAGGCCTACTCTTTGATGAACTACACGAAATGAGTATTCAAAGCAGCATTCTGAGCTATGTTGTCAAACAGATGAAGAATAGGTACACAACATGAAGCTGAAGCACGAGCTTCTGCTCTCAGAAGAGCTTTGACGGAAAGCACTGATGTATCTTCAAAAGAATGATAACAGTTCTGGACCCCAATCAGTCGGTAAACATAAGCAAAAACGGAAATATGATGCATAAGCCTGCACGATGACATCTCTATTTAAGAAAAATGTTCGTAAAAAAAGAAACATGCTCACCATCTGTACTGTATCTCTTGCAGCAGGTGTGCGAGCCGTGCGCGCAGTTACTGCATTTGCGCGAGCAGATGCAGCATAATCGGTTAAAAGCGAACTGAAAATTGCTTTCATGAAAAGGTAACACCTATTCCATAGATCTAACCTTGTTGCCCCATTATCAGCGTACTGACGAACACTGTCACTAGCGTGTCCGATTTTGATGATCTGCTCCATCTCCCGATCGCTGATTTGAGGAGCAGGTAAAATCAACTTGCTTCTCTTCTTCTCCTTTGTTTTGAAAACTGATTCCGGCTCATCTTCAGGCCTGAAGCGAAAAAGAGTTCGTTCAAAATAAAATAAAAAAACAAAAAAAGAGATGACACCTACTTCTTTCGTTTGAGCTTCTCTCGATCTTGTTTTCGCAATTCATTTTCAACCTCCATTCTTCTTGGCTTTTGATGGTCAGCAATGGCCTTAAACAATTTGAAAATACTAGTCGTGGAAAGTTGTAATCGTGCTCACTAGCTTGCATACTCACTCTTTGATGCAAATCATCTTTATCGAAACGATCCTCTGTTGGGTCGTGAAAACCAGCAGGGACTGCTTTCTCAAAAGGTATCTGAAGAAAATTTGACTTTATATGGATGACAGATTGTAAGGAAATAGTGAAATGCATTCGCACTAAACTGCGATATTTACCTCTCCACTATAATCTATAGCGTTCTTCTTCAATCGCTTGAATCTTCGAACAAGTAATCCTGCCTCTCTCATTTCACGTCGCTTTTGGAGTGAAGCCAAACGACGAGCTTCAGACAGCTGTCGTTCACGAGCCTAAATGACTTTACCAATATAATATGATCAGTTACAAAAACTGACTTCTTGGTATACAAGATAGTGGTACACTCAATATATGCAGTATGCGATGAAAAAAAAAAGCTTACCTTTCTTTTCGCCTTCTTTCCTTGAGTGTTGGCAAGTCTGGCACGAGCTTCAGAAAGCATTTCCAATTCTGAACAGATAGATTCAATCACTTGAAATCAAGCTATATGATATTCTAACCGTCGTCATCCATATCGACTGGGTCTGGACGAGCAGGCTTCGTCTCCGGTGTAGGGTCGATCTCACCAGGTTTTAGCCTTTTGGCCTCCGTCGCTTCATCATCCAAACCTTCAGCTTTACGCTGAGCTTCATCTAGCAAATGTTCATATCTGAAAGACAGATTTTATAACGCCTAGGCCCTCTTCATATTGTAGAGCCGACAACGAAGCGTATGAACTACTAATAAACTAGCATATACGCACGATCAACTTGATCGATTTACAACAGCACACCTCTCTAAACATTGCGCAGCCGTTCGTCCTACGATCGGAGCGATGGTTCTCCATTGAGTTGGCATCAACTTGGCCAGATGAAGTAACTTCTCATCCTCTTCCCGAGACCATTCCGTTTTCTTGATTCCAGGATCTAACCACTCAAACCAGCGCGCCTTCAAGCATATTATGAAGATAAAAGTGAAAATGAAATGACAGAGAAAAAATATTGTCTCGACAAAAGAAACAAAAGGAGGACGAACGTACTTTGCATTGTTTTGCTGATTTCCTGTGAAGCAAAGACGCAATTCGACTCCACTGATTCTTTCCATACTTCATAATGGCGGCTTTGAGGATTTCATCCTGGTAAAAAAGATATGATTTATAATAAAAAATATAAAAGCGACATGGTGAACTCAAAAAACATCACGACCACCGACCTCTGTGTTTCGCCAAACGCCTCCTTTGATGATAACACGCACCATCTTGTCCTGAGCCTAATTCCTAAACAGAGTTCTGTTGGTACAGAATTTGTATGTGAGAGACTTGAGAAACTGCGAAACTGGGTAGAATAATTTGCGCAAAGATTTTCGAAGAGTGTCCTTCACTATTAAAGGACGATTGTACTGGAGCGTGAAATCTGCGCGCGTCCAAGCAATGTTTCAGCTGGCGTTATGAATATTTCTGGGGTTCAATTTTGTATTGACGCATTATCCCAAGTTGTTTTGGTCTTAAATATTTAGATTGCTTCTGAGTAGTTTGTGGATTACTACCTATTCCTGTACGCTATGTTCCAGCGACAACCAAGATTTTATTGATCACTTAGTGGCTAACTTTCGGCGATTTCGCCTTCGAGAGCCTGTAAAGTCAAGATTTACGTAATCTCTAACAAAATTTTATTAATCCTCTATTGGGCAACGTTCCGGCGATGGTGGTTGGATGTGGCTGAAACATAGCATATACGAATATTCACCATGCCAAGATTCAGAAACTGCCGAACTTGGAATATTTCAAATGCTACCTCTTGCTTTTTTTTTACACAACCATAGGGATGGACTTCTTATAGACCATGGAAGACAAAGAAGTGATGGAAGTGGAGCCTATCGAAACAACAGCAGATACCGGGACGACAGCGGATACGAAAGAAGTAGCTGAAGAAAGCGGTGCAGCACTCAAAAATAGCGGTATAGTGGAGGAAAAAGAAATGATGGAAGAGGAACCAAACGACCCAACAGTTCAAAACAAGGTCAGTGAGACTGATGGCACAAAACAAACAAAGGGTTTGCGAGGAATGCCGAAGTCAGGACGTTGGTGGAAGGAAACACAATCGGCCAGGTGCATTTCTCAGAAATCTTATAGTTTTGGCATCTTATCTATATTTTTACTATTTTTTCCCACCCTTGGTATATTCAGGCACAGTGCGCTTGTCAAAGTAAAACCTTTGAAATCCTCATGGGAGAAGAAAATGGCAGATCGAGCTAAACAGAAACAAGTCAGACTTCTGCAACAAGAAATACGTGATCGAAAAGCACAAGAAAGACAAGTAAGTAACCATAGGGAAGTCAAGATTGTCTATGTCTCCGAATTTGATCTCTTAAAGGAGAAGATTGAACGAAGAAAAGAGCAAGAGAAACGACGGCTGGAAAACGAGAGGAAAGGAGAGGTGGTGCAGGTTAGTGTGTGTGCAAATAACTTTTGAATTTGAGAGAATCATTCTCAATTAAGGTCATCAAAAACACGGCTAAATTACGAAAAGCGAAGAAGAAGCAGTTGCGTTTTATTGAAAAGAGGGATACAAACTAATCATACCGTAGTTTGGACATGTCGTTAATGTGCACAAACACTGACATGTTTCTGTTTTCACCCATTTTCATTGTTACGTTGTTATTGTTAAGTTTTTGTGAAGCGTTTTGGAGACAAAGCGAAGTTTTGTCAAGTTAGTTTGTAGAACTTCATCTCATGGGATTACAACTTTTATCTTGTTTGAACATTTATTCACAGTGTACAACATTCATGGCTGGGTTACTGCAATATCCTTTTAAGTGGTACTTTACTGCCCGGACGAAAACGCAAGAGCAAATTTAGTAAAGTGGTTGGGATACGACGCGCGCAGCTGTTTATATGTTGTGGACCATACGCCTTATGAGCTCTGAGGGTTAGGAAGAGTTATAGAAGCACGTTCACATCCCTGGATTCTGATCTTTCCTTTTTTGATGCCTTGTTGATGTAGAGCTGTGCAAGTTCTATCCATTTTTTTGGTATTTTATGTTTGAAGCAGCTGCTCGCGCGGTATTGTTTGTACAATGAATACGTTTTGGATCGATGCTGCACATGGTGCAGAACTAAGGCTGCGATCATACTGAATCCCGAAGTTTGGGAATAGTTCCAGCACAGCGCTCAAACTGAACGCTGTGCTAGAACTGTTCCCGAACTTCGGGATCAGTATGAACGCAGGCTAAGTCCAAGGCGTCTCCCGCTTTTATAGTCCGCTTCTTTCAGATATATGAGTGCCAGTCTATACAGGGTGCCCCAAAACTACCTGCGCCAATATTTGCACCGCTGCTACAAGAAAACCACTAAGAGACAAAGGCTTGAATTCATCTCGTAGGATGCACTAATCCAAACTTTACAAAAGACATCTTACGGTATCGAGAAAGACTTTTTTTAAGAAGAAGGGCGAATCAAAAGAATTAGACCAACTGTTTCGAAGAAAGAAATGGAGTTTTTATGCTTCATATTTTGTTCTGCAACTGAATGAACTCAAAATCTTCCTGAACCATTTCGAACTGAGATCGTAGAGCACATTTCACACTATCACATAGCCCTAGTTCATTCACAAGAAGTCGTTCTCTCACCAAATACGAAGATGTATTTGCGAGAAATAGTTGCATACGAGCAACGACCTTATGTTCAAAATCGATTGTGAGATTCTAGACATGCAAAAATTATCAATGAAAACGCTTCTCTATTCATAGACATGTAGAAAGCTATCTACCATGACCGATTCGTAAAAATAAATTTGGAACTTATTTGAAGGCATTTTCTGGTTTTCATGCGCCCTCAGGAAAGCCGAAATACTCAAGCATGTTTTGAAAAATTGAAAACTGCTTTTCCATGTCTTTTAGAATTCCGCACTCAATTATTCAGAGGCAAGGCAAAGGTCCATTCTACTTTACCGCTCAGTTTCAAAGCAAAAGAGAACTTTTACAAAAAGATATTGTATAAAGTCTCCAAGTTGTGCCCGCGTACAGAACGCATTTCATCTGACGAGAGGATATGAGATTTTCTTTAGAGCCGGAGCATCCAAATTGTGATTTGACTATTCCTTTACGATGATAATGGTTGGTGAAAACAGATGCACATTTGATCCGTCGTCAGGCCCGTCTTGTAGTCTTCTGACACCTAGGGGAATACGTTAATTTTGGCTCACCCTGTAGGCACAAATCCACTTTCCAGCAACCTTCCTGGTCTTGTGCCAGCTTATCTCGTTAAGTCCGATGGGATCCTCCGATCTTCTGCTCCGTCATGACAGGCATTCGTCAGGTTCTCGACGGCATGGATTGATTGAAGACTTTTCACGTTTCAGTTGGGCGCCGCGGTTGGAATGTCGCTAGAGTCTTGAGACATTGACGACAACGTGACCCACATGGTGGATCGTGCAATTCTGCCACCTGGGACAATTAGAACCACATGTTGGGTCATGGCTTGAATTTTGTTGGAAAAGACTGCTATTTTGGAATACATTCGTTTCAAAAGTTCTCTTAGGCTCTGACCCTAGAAGTTGCCCTTGTGTTTCTTGCCTTCTTGTAGAATCGCTGCAGTTATAGTGTAGTTGGCTGTCTGCATGATTCTAGCTAAAAAATCATCGACTTATCTGTAAGGAGCACGTTGTCGTCAATGTGTTAACAGTGGGGACAGGAAACCAGCATAGAATGGATAAATTGGTGACTTCCGCTGTGAGAAGTGGAAACCGAGTTAAACGAGTTTAACTGGTTCAAAAATACGAACCACAATTTCGACTGCTTGTCACAAGCGTTGGTCCGAATTCTAGACTACATGGAGTCTTTCTGGTGGTAAGCCCAAATTCTCATTAGTTATTCGACATACACGGAACAAAATATCCTATTATTCGAATTTGTAATATAGGTCCTAGAATATATTCGACTACTCAAATTTCTCCTTCTCGAACAACTTTGAATTTTGATTACTCATTTTCTTTACTCTGAAAGAATTGGATACTCGATTACTCAACATTCTGATTTTGGAGCCCGACATACGGTCGAGTAGATTTTCCGTTTGATGTATCTACCATCGGCTCCTCGATTGCCGCGAGGGCGGACTCGAGCGAGCGTGTCAGCGATGCGGTTGCCCTGTGTTGAAACATAGCTGATAAATTGATTATCGGTTGACCATCGCGACCGCCCTCGCGGCAGTCGGGGAGCCGATGGTAGTGTGCTCGCACTGCTGGTAAAATGCGGTAAAATTTAAGCAACTAGCTACGCCAATAATGCCGGTATTTTGCGTGCAATTCGTAGGCGTCACAGGCGTAGCTATTTGTTCATGCGAAAATTTTGCCGCATCTCACCTGCAGTGCAAGCACACCTTATTAAAGGCAGTGTCCGGGCAAAAACTCGATTTTGAGATTTTGTGCTTATATGGGCCTATTCGCCATGCTGAATCCGAAAATGCACATTGGAAAGCGCGAAAACGGCGAAAAAGGGCTCTAACACAGGAGGGAAATCAGCAGGTGGGCGGGGCTTTCCCCAGTGCGATGTCACGCTCCCAGCTCCCGGAGCGATTTTCTCGATTCCGCTAGCCGTCCCAGCTTCGCTACCGGTCAAGTGCAAATGATTGACTTGAAACCGGAAGCGAGAAGAACGCTCCGGGAGCCGGGAACGTGAATTCGCAGTGGGGAGGACCCCGCCCACCTGCTCATTTCCCTCTTGTGTTAGAGCCGTTTTCCGCTATTTTCGCGCTCTACAATGTGCATTGGATCCAGCATAGCGAATAGGCCCAAGTAAGCACAAAATCTTAAAATCGAGTTTTTGCCCGGACACTGCCTTTAACGATATGACCATGTATACTGACTTAGCCCCTTGCATTCGCATGAGTTTTGGTATTATAAGAAAAATTGGGAGGACTTTCTTCGCAGCTAATGATTGTAAACAAACGGGAAGCTTGTAACATTGAAAGTCTGAAACAGCATGTATCGCTCTACGCTACCGGCCTGCTATTTTCTTTTTCACACAATGCCTTTGAAGGAGGTAGATCCCGCCCACGAGAGGCTCAGACTAGCACAGCATCAAGATTGTTTCTACACAGTCATCATCCCCGGATCTCTCCACCTCTTTTCATACTACCTTTTTCGTTTACCTAGATTTTCTCATCCTTCTCGTTCTATCACTAACACCCCTCATTTATCGATGTAAAAGTGCCTTCATACTGCGTCGACAGCAGGCGGTAGTCGCCAGAGCCCGTATCCCCCGCCAGCAACCTGTAGCAGCCGTCAGCAGCCCTCAGCCGCCATTAGCCGCTCTGGTGCAGAACATATCATATCTTTTGAATCTCGATGGGTATGCGGTAGGCGGTCAAGGTCGTGGATTTGCCTCAAACTTTTGAGGGGTTACCTGACGAGCTGATTACGAATGTTGCTCTCATTTTCATGGTAAGGTTTTTTGTGAACTTGGAAAATAAAATGGCAGTGAGGCGTTGTTGGAGGGAACGAATTTGACAGTTGTGTTTTGCATGCTTGAGAAAACTTTCTAAGAAGAGTTTAGAGGAAGATTGGAGGCAGTTTGGATTTTTGAACCATTTCCTGTGTATTGACCGTAACCCGAAAAATACCGTGCACAATCCATATGATATTTAAGTATAGCCGAACAATCCCAATAAACAGAGTTTTAGCGAAATTCCGTGTTTCATTTCTTGGATCACCTTCTCAGATAATCGCCGGGGGCAGGCGGTCCGCAAACTCGCTCTTTTCTGCAGGCGGTCAGCAGGATTTCGGGGCGTGGCCAAATCTTCAGCGGGCGGTATTTGCGTTTTCTGCAAGCGGGCATCAATACAAAATTTTCTGCAAGCGCTCGTCAAACAATCTCTTTCAGCGAGCGCTGGCCAAACTTTCAGCAGGCGCTCAGACTCTTTTTACGCAGTTTCGGGCGTACGCCGAGAAAAGATGAGACTCTATGTAACAGAGGTGCCATCGATGGTTTTATTACCCAAGTTTGGGGTACTTTCTTTCAGCGGAAAGTACCTGAGGGCTGTGCGGTCCTTCAAAAAGGACCGTGCGGCTCTCAATAATTTTGCATGTTCTCGCGGAAAATCCGCGAGAATGC